CCAGAGAGAGACAGAAAGAGAGGGGGAAAGTCAGAAAGCACCTCCAAGGGAAGACAGCCAATACCATAATCCCTTCCCTTCTCTTCTATTCTCCTCTTGGGATTTTGGGTACACGTGCACATGTGTTTTTCAAGCTACCAGATCTAACTGTGCAGTGGCTCTGTGGCATCCCACTATGCCACCACCTGGCCCCTGTTCCCCAATATTTACTGGGTTTCTCCTGTGCACCAGTCTCCTGCCAGATATGAAAGGCACAGCAGTAAGAATGGCAGGCAAAGTCCCTTTTCTGTGGGAGCTGAATCCCTCTCCTTGTGTTTGGGTAACTGTGGGTGGACAAGGGAGATTCCCATGACCCTTCACCCATCCTACCTTCCATGCTTCCCCTACACTTGTCTCCTCTTTTCATACCCCCCCATCTCCATCTCCCTCTTCCCTTACAGCCACCTCCCATATACCACTGACTCACTCTTGCTGTTCACCAGGCTAACGCCTACTTATCCTCCTTACAATATCATTTCTCAGATGGCCGTGGCTGCCTCAGGGTCCCAGTTCTCCAGTCACAATGCTGTACGCTGCTCTTTGTAACACTTGTTATAGCTGTGATCTTACACTTATTTGTGTGACTATGTGATTCTTTCTTCCTCTCAGTACTGAGAAATCCATGAGGCCAGCATCTAACCTCTCTAGTTAAGTCCCACAGTACATTCTGCAAAGGGGGCAATTACCCTTCATTTATGGATGAAAAAAGGAAAAGGTTCCACCTCAGTTCTTTGCCTGCGCAATGCCACCCACAACTAAGGCCTCTAGTGTACTGGGGGTCTGGAGACAAGGTGTGTGCCTGTTACTTCGTGACTGCTAATTACTACTGGCCACCGAGCCAACAGCTCAACAAAGCTGACATATTAGGTTTCTGTACCCTAGTTGGTAAGAAAACCAACAGGAACGGCTGACACTAAGGGTAGATGATAGATGAGATTCTAGACCTAGATTTCATTCTAGCCTAAGAGACTCAAATCCAAGTTTTGCTTCTTTTCCCCCATCGTCTGGCTCTTGTAAAAGAAAAATTCACGCTGCTTGAGGAAATTCCGCAAGGATTCAGAATCAGCATACTAACAAGAACTTGGTCTAAGAATGCTTATTCCTATGTGAACTGAGGAAAAGGAGAAAAATGGAAGGCCCATTCATGTGACCCTACTATTAGGGTACAGAGTTTATAGTCAAATATAGCCATGCGTTGCTTAATGACAGGGATACAGTCTGAGAAATATGCTGTTAGATGATTTTTGTTATCATACAAGCAACACAGAGTGTATCTGCACAAGCCCACATGGTATGGCCCTCTATAAACCTAGGCTATATGGTATAACCTCATGGGACCACTGTTTATACATGTGGTCTGTTGCTGACCAAATGTCACTTGGAATGGTTCAATTTTAGTGGTGGCTCCTTGAAATTCTGGGAGAGCTAAAATGGGCTCTGACATGGTAGGAGATGGCCCTTGCACTCACGTCGTGTCGTCCCAGCGCTGCAGACACTGGCTGTGAAAGCTGTGGTTACATAACGTGGTGAGGATACCATTCACCGACTCATCCATTCGCTCTAGGCACACCGTGCACTTGGGCAGCTCGGTCAGGTCCATGACAGGAAGGCTGGCACCCTACAGGGAAATACCTTGCATAAGCAATCTCTCCTTTTGCTTTCTTTTCTCTTTTTTTCATTCATGATATAATGTATGCATACACATATGAGCATGAGAGTGAGAAAGAGACAAGCACCCTCCATAGAGTCTGGTCCCACCTTTCACCAGTTCTCCAGCCCATCAGATCCTGAGCATACTCATATATGTCTGGTGTATGTCAGGCGAACCATGTCAAAGATTCAAACCATGGCTACCATGTGGGCTCAGGCTTTTCTTGAGTAGCATATTACCACTATGCCATGGAGTTGGCTACCCATTTTTTTTTTCTTTTAACAATGGTTTTTCCCAGTACTTATTGACTCCTGGCAGGATGTTCTCATCATTACTGCCCTATACAAATAATATAAATTGATAAAATTTTCATTAATTTATTAATTCACTCAACAAATACTGATTTGAGCACCTCCTATATTCCCTGCACTGTGCTAGGCACTGGGAATACAGTGGTGTACAAAATAGATGATTATCTCTGACCTCGTGGAGCTGATATTCTGGAAAAGAGACAGCTGCCAAAACTTTGCATTATAGGGTCCAACAGGTGGCTTGGTGGTTAAAGTGCTAGACTCTCACATGGCCGAATGCAGCTCAAGTCCCAGATCTGGCAGGTGGCTTTCTCACTTTCCTTCTCTCTCTCTCTGTCAAATTAAAAAAATAGTAACAAGAAATTTAAAAAAATTAAATAAATAATTCTTTTAAAAAATCTTACATTATAAACATAAAACATTACCATGCTCCTAACTTAGTTCCAAATGTCTATAATATACAGAAATAAAAGATGCAGGGGACCAGCAGATGATGTAATGGTTACATTGCTGGACTCCAACATAGTCGACTGCAGTTTGATTCCTGGAGCCAGTGGCTTAAAATTCACACCAGGTGTGTGTGCTTGCATGCCCAAGATCCTGAGAGGAGGGAATGTAGTGTGGCCATCCCCCTGGGGCTTGATTTCTGGTTTCCTGTCTCTCCCTCTCCAGCGAGCACATGTGCCCTACACCAAAAAAAAAAACAAAACAAAACAAAAAAAACTCTCAAAAGAAAAAAGAAATAAAAGATGCAGAATAGCAATGGATCTTAATTTTTTTCACAAAGTAAATCATTACACTTTCTACTTAATGATAACATTATCAATAGCAGAAACTTTATTTATGGATTCATTTAAGAAGTACTCACTGAGACCCTGCTGGGTGAGTGTGCATGAGTGTATGCCCCAAATCCTGAAAGGCAGAAGAGATGGAGGAGAAGGGATTGTAGTGTGATCATTCACCATGGGAGGTGTTTTCTCACTTTCCCTCGCTGTCTCCCTTTGGTGAGCATATGTGCCTCTGACAAAACGTTAAAAAAAAAGTATAGGAAGCTACAACAGGGCATGAAATAGAGGCAGGACAGTCCAGGGGGTCAGGAAAAGTACCCCAAAGACAGCAAAGCTGGACTTGTGCCTGCCAGTCAGACGATGAGCAGAAATTACTTAGGTGAAGGTGGGAAAATATACATATAAAGACATATGGGAAAAAAATCCACATTAATATACAGTCCCCAAAGAACAGATCATTATAGAAATCTTCAAGAAGCTGTGCTGGGACCAGCAGTTAGCGTAATGGCTATGTCGCTGGACTCCCATGTAGTCGACCACGGTTTGAGTCCCAGACCCGGCGGCTTAAAACTCACG